AGACCATCAGGTACGGTTTAGGTCACTTTCTGGTGGAGGTCAGGTCAAGGTCAGGTCAAAAAAGGTCAAATTTGAAAGTTGATATTTTTGCATAAAATGGGTATCGATTCGATGCAGCTCGTCACGGGGAGTCTAATGGTGGTCTTTGTTTTGCGCTACAGGGTCTAGAATTGCTAAAAATTGAGTTTGAAAATTTGACGTCATCAATTTTGAACAGTTTTTTCGCTATAACTTGGCCAAAAAAAGAGGTATCGATCTCAAATTTGGTATATAGATAGAAGACAGTAGGGACTATCACATATATTCCTTTTTTTCGAAATTCAAAAAACTTTTTGGATTTTTTGGCTATAATAATCAAAAAATCTATTTTTTATTTTTGGGGGTCAAAATCCAAAAAATTCCAAAAACCGATATAGCAGTTTTGTAGCCCTCTTGATTTCACATCTTTTATGTCTGAAACATTTTTCTGTATCTCTAAAGCTGTAGGCCTGACAGCTCTTCCCGCGAAACCTTTTTTTGGGTCGAAAATGGCAAAAATGACGTCACTCTGACGTCATTAGCGGCCAACCTATCATAGCCTTTGGAAAAATTTTTGGTCACCATGTGCGCTAGCTGCTCCCGGGAGGGTACTGAAAGTTTGGTGACGATCGGCGCAGCGGTTCTCGAGATATATTGAAAAAACTAAGGGGGGGGGCAAAAAAATGCCCCCCCCCCACCGCCTGGAAGGTTAACATCTTCACACAGATCGCCATATTTCAGCGTTTTATGTTTGTACCATTTTAAAAGTGGATGCGGGTATCGATAGAAGAAAGATCGGCCTGTTGTGTGGTACCTTCGGTTTTTCCGTATCTCGACTAATAAGTTAATAAATCGACTTTTAGTTTTACCTTCGAAATCGGTATCTACCATAGGGTTAGCACTAGTGAAGGGAAAATAAAAAAGACTTCACGCCCTGCTTACGTCACCAGAGCGTGAAGCTGCCAGGGTTGTGCTCGACTAAAAAAAAATTTGCCGACTCGACTCATCATTAAACTTCAGAAAGCCCTGACTCAACTCTGACTCAAACAAGGAGCTGATTTTTTTCTCTTGACTCGACTCATGACTCAAGCGGCTCAATGAAAATATGAGTCGACTCAAACTTGACTCAATTTTTTGTTGTTGAGTCAAGTGAGCTGACTCAAAATTAACTCAGATAAAAAAGTTGTTGAGCGGGGGAGGGGAATCCGGCAGCAGGGCCAGGGCTAAGTTGTTAAGCAGGAGGGGGATGAAAAGCTTATATATATACTATATATATATATATATATATATATATATATATATATATATATATATATATATATATATATATATATATATATATATATATATATATATATATATATATATATATATATATATATATATATATATATATATATATATATATATATATATATATATATTGTTTTTAGAATGAGTCAGCTGACTCATGTTCCTAAATGTTTGACTCAACTCAATGTCAAAAGTTATTTTACTGACTCAACTCTGACTCAACTCAACACCTTAATATTTTTGTCCGACTCAACTCTGACTCAACTCAACAGCTCAACATTTTATCCGACTCGACTCAAATCTGACTCATTTGAGTCAGAGTTGAGTCAAATTTCTGACTCGACTCATGAGTCAAGCACAACCCTGGAAGCTGCCAATGCCATTGACTGGGGGCCGCGTTAAACTTTGGCATCTAAATTATCCCGTTACCCGGCATTGCGCGATCGGACGTTAGGGGTCGGGGTCTACGCAACAAGCTCTGCTTAGCGTGGGCTCCGGCTCTGTCAATTCGTCCATTCAAACATTCGAGCTAAATTTATAAAAAAAAAATGGTCGTAGAAAGACATGGAAAACGACACTTGAAAGCTCTCAACAAGACAAACCCTAGCACTTAGCAGCACAAACAGATTATGACTTTGTAGGTCACAGGTCAGATCAACGTCAGTTCAAATGTAAAAAGCAATTCAGTGACAAATGCTAGCTATGTGTATGCAACACGGTGCTTTTTATACTATGTTGCATTCTTCATTTCTGGTGTTTACGCTTTTTGATCAGCTGCATATATCCATGCTATACCTATAGTCTCTGTCTTCAACTCTGACATTCAATGTCTTATTCTTTATAAACGTGTTCCATTTTCTTATGGTCTCCATTAGTTAAACTGAAAACATTCGGAACGCCGATCTACTAATTCGCTGCCGTCTCCCGAAAGCCCCGTCTCCCTGCATCTGATCACTTCACCTGTACTAACTCCAGAATGCATCGGCCACGCACGTGTTCGAAGCGTGACGTCACTAGTCTCCAAATCGTGCCGACACTATCCGTTGTGTGATCGTAGCGCGAGGTCGCTCTGAGCAAAACCTGTAAGATCCTTACACAATATGTTACGGAGGCTGATTGTCCAATATCGTCACTCGTCCCCGTCTGTAGTGATGTGCTTTTAAACGATGTTTTGATAAGAAGATCCCATCTCAAGTCTGTAAGTGTCTGCTGCACAACAATTAAACGATTTCGAATCAACCGCCCAACAAAACAATCTGACTGTACACAAACTCAACACTCAACCGTTCTTCCAGTAACGGTATGCACCGTTATCACACTGATAATCCAACAGTTGATTGAAAACACCGCATAGCGGCCGCCGGCCACATCTGTCTGGGTCCAATTTCCATCAGAGTCGCAGTTACTGCCTCATTTTCCATACACAATCTCACGGCCAACGTTGTCCATCTGTCTTGGTCTAACGCTACTCCATCCCCATAGTGTCCGGGCCGTCTGCGTGCTTCTGACTCCTGTACCGGTTCATAAAATGTCCAGCTGCTCGGTCGGGCTAATTTGGTACATGTGTAGACATATACCTATTGTGTTGTCCAAACTGTGAATCGACAAGAAATTGGTGTTTGACGACCAGGGTTGTGCTTAACTCATGAGTCGAGTCAAAAATTTGACTCAACTCTGACTCAAATGAGTCAGATTTGAGTCGAGTCGGATAAAATGTTGAGCTGTTGAGTTGAGTCAGAGTTGAGTCGGACAAAAATATTAACCCTCGCCCATGTAGGGGGGGGGGGTGCAACCCCTCCCCCCTGAGGTTTTTCTTAGCTACACGCCGAACCGTTTCAGATAGCCAGCTCAAATTTTCAGTACCCTTTGGGGCATCCTTTGCGCAACTTTTGGTAAATTTTTTTTGTCAAGGTCATGTCAGGTCACGGAGTTATGACGTCATAAAGGGAACAACCTCCGGCCAGATTTACGCTAAATTGGAGATTGCTTCACAATGGTATAAATGCCGACTGACCTGACACACTGATGGATTGTTTTAGAATCATAACTGGCTGATTTGACATTGGCACAATGTCCGTTGACCTTTTCAAGGTTACTAAAGGTCAAGGTCAGGTCAGTGACCTCGGTTGACCTGTAATGACTTCTTGCACTTGTATGCCTTTTCGGGGTATTTTGATGCCCTGAATTCGAATTTGCTATCCATTTCAGGCATCGTCAGTTGTTTCTTGTAGTTCATTTTGGGTCAGGGTCAGGTCAGTGACGTCACACGCCTGACGTGATCCAATGCACAAATGACCTTGCAGACTTCCGATGCTTCCAACGCATCATTTTTAGAGTTATGACATCGAAATACACACCAAACGATAGAGAATTGATCAAGGATCACGATAGTGAAGGTTTCAAGTCGACATCTCTTACCGTGTAGCCGCAATCGGCGCGGAAATCTGAAAAAGTTAGATTTTTCCGAAAATTTGACCTTTGACCGGTCATAAGTAGGTCAAATGTTGACCTAGGACCAAAAAATATACCACCAATCGTGAGATCTCGTTGAGAGCAATCCGTTGGTCTTTTCCGCTAAGCTCTACGACGCTCCGTTTTCAAACGCCAGGGGGGGTCGCACCAACCCCCCCCCCCCTGCATGGGCGAAGGTGGCAAAACGCCGTTTACGGGCGAGGGTTAAGCTGTTGAGTTGAGTCAGAGTTGAGTCAGTAAAATAACTTTTGACATTGAGTTGAGTCAAACATTTAACATGAGTCAGCTGACTCAACTTTCTAGAGACAATGGTCTAAATAAGTATCTAATTACAAGTCATTACTCAAAGAAAAAACACTCCTTAAGTCCTAACAAATAACTATTTATAACAAAGATTAGAACAAGGCCCCGAATTTTTTTTCACCCCCCCCCCCCGCTCAACAACTTTTTTATCTGAGTCAATTTTGAGTCAACTCACTTGACTCAACAAAAAATTTGAGTCAAGTTTGAGTCGACTCATATTTTCATTGAACCGATTGAGTCATGAGTCGAGTCAAGGGAAAAATCAGCTCCTTGTTTGGGTCAGAGTTGAGTCAGGGCTTTCTGAAGTTGAATGATGAGTCGAGTCGGCAACTTTTTTTAGTCGAGCACAACCCTGCTGAGGACACGAAACATGGCGTGAGAGAGCAAACGGTTTGTTGATGATTGATTCACATTCGACAGTGATTTACTTGCCAGTGAAGGTTGCATAAGTCCGTGGTGTAGTTGGTGTTAATTGCTCCAAATCAACCACCCGTTATGCTGTCTAATGTCTATCACATTTCACCTACTTATAACAATGGAGCACACACGTGCGAGCAGTGTGAGTGCAGTCACGTGCGACCCCCCCCCCCCCCTCTTCCTCTAGCTAAAACCCTCTCCTCCCACTTCTCGCCTCAGTTCGTGGAAGGTCACAGAGGGTGGTTTTAGGACTCGGAACAACTCGTCTATTCGGTGCTGTATGAGCAAACCTCACCTCGCACCCCCCCCCCCCCCTCTCCCACCCTCACGGTCCTGGTCCGGGACCATCCGGACCGTGTGGTCCACCAGCTGAGCAGCGTGGGGTCCGCGCCGCAGCGCTCCTCGTGTCCCAGATACCGGCCCGGCTGCGTCACGGTTCAGTACCTGGCCGAAGTAACGGCTCGCTGCCGCCGCCGCCGCCGACGCCGCTGCGAGTCGCGATGGCACTCAGTGAGACTGCGCTGACTCCAGTCGCAGCTCGCTCCAGGTCGGGACCACAGCACAGTCACAGCGCCGCTGGAGGGGAGGGCACCACGCGGCCGAAGCAGCACACTTGAGGATTCACGCAGGCGAGGCGAGGACGGCTGGCTTTTGGAGCGAGCTGACGCTGGTTTGGTTAGACTCAAGTTGTGGGTATTGTTTGGCTACTGACACTTCAGCTGTGACCGAGTTTAGTGCAGCAGTGATTTACTGTGTTCGGGTGAGAGGAGACAACAAACTGACTGAGCAGAACGACTGCAGCGCACGCGTCAGCTGACCGTCACAGTTAAACCGATCATCGGCAGCCAGTGACGCAGAAGGCAGGTGAGTTATTCAGGGCCAGTAGTATCAGAGTTGGGCAGCATGTAAAGTCGATCCGGTACACTCTACCGGCTCTTGTTTTCAGATATCTGCGTCTGTAAAATGCTAATTCGGTTCAACGTTGGCTCCACCACGCCTCGCAAGCCAAAGTGGATGAGTTACAAAGGGTCGAAGCCTAACATTTATGTCAGGTCTTTTCTAAATTCTATGGAGAAGTGAAGTGTCTTCTCTCAGTATACCTGTATCTACCTCAACTGAACAATGAACAGTGATCAATTAGCTGCATTTTTCTATCATTTAGAACGCACGCTTCTACCATTTCAATCAGCTAGAGTATAAAATTCCGACGTTTTTAACAAGCCAGCAGGCCACAAGGATCCCACGGAACCTCAAAGATAGCTGTAAGGCGTACCAACCGTTCTTTACCTCACGTCACGATCGTGAAGCGAGCGTACTTACATAATTCGCGAGTCACGACCACTCTAGTCACGAGTATCGTGTATAAACACTGTGATTGAACGGCGCACAGTGGCCGCAGTCGTGTCTTTGGCACATCTGGCAACGGTGGGAAGCTTACTCACTCAAGTTTGACCGCTTCTTCCAGTCGTGGCATCGTCTGACATTATTTCCTGCCGTCGCCTGATTCTTAGCTGTTGTTATATTCCAGTTTGATAAACACGCTGGTCTTAGCGATTTCAAAAACATCTTCCCTTAGCCCTTTTCACGTAGAAAGACTATCGTTGTTCATTGTTTTGCTTATCATATCATTTAAAATTTAAATCCAGCTATCCGATAAAGGCGTCCCTTGACACTGCTTAGTATAGCACTCCAACGGCCTATAGGCCGATGAAAAATTAAATATAGTTAATTCTTAAACAATATAACAAACCAATGTCTACCAACATATGTGCACCATGCTACCATCACGTCCATTCAACCTTGCCACGAAGAGACGCACTACACCTTACGCAATGCCGACGGCAGTCTCGGACTCGGTGACCCAGTGAGCTCTAGTGACGTCACACACTGATGATATCACACTCTGCTGCCGTCTGACACGCCCAATGAGCTCTCTGATGACGTCACAGCCACCCCGTGACCTGCCGAGCTCTTCATCCGTGCAAACTGAACACGTGAACACCAGACTGTGTCTCTCATGTCTCTTCACAGCTCCTTTACAGATGCGATCGATATCTATGTAATTGTAAAATATGCAACCAGCCGACAGCCGTGAAAGAAATGTGTCTTCACTGACAGATCGCTTGTCTCAGCAGTCAGCAGTAAGCCGAGCTCTCATACTAACGCCGTCTAGCATTGCTTCAATAACCCTGCAAACCATGTCTGGCACTGAGAGAAGTCTGTTTCAACCTGGCTGTCTGATAACTAAACCAGTTCGTTAGTTATCTGGATAAAGCCACGTTGGGGTCTGTCTTGCTCAGGTTGTGACTATCAATCCCGAGTAACGATTCAGACACATTTTTAGTCACATGGTGCCTAGCTCATTTTCCCTGGTTCTCCACAATTGTTCATATAAATTTCTGATACAGGTTTAATTCGGGTCACGGTACGTAACAGCATGGCTCAGTCACCGTTGTAAACACAGGACATGTCCAGTGTCAGTTTTATTCTACTGACCGAACTGATCTCTGAGGCATGAAACTAGCTTTAGTCGCTTCAAACTGAAGAACCATATACTTTTGTTCGGGAAATTAGATGATCGGTACTGGCTGGGTTGTCCAAATAATGTGATAGGGGAAGGCTGAAATTTAGACAAAAAAAGAATCACGCTCATTTGCTATTTTTTTTCGTAACCTGTTCATTGTCAGCTGGAGTAAATCACTACTTCTTCCTCGCGGATATTGTGGTTGAAAGTAGCTATTTAACGTTCGAATGATTTAAAGGTAGTGTGCCACCTTTGAAAGATTTCCCATTTTATTTTTCCTAGGATAAGAAGCTTCTGTTTTTACCTAATATCGCAAAAAAAAATCAAAAATGGGCCTGGAATAGTGCCTTTTTCGCCTAAAAGTTTTTCGGTTTTTAGATATGTATAACAACTGTAGTGGGCTCACCTGCAAACAGGCGTCGGGCAACAATCGCGAATGCGGCGCACTTGTGACAATAAGCAAAGGTCATTATAGTGTTACGACCATACGACGTACGGGAATGAGTTATCAGCTGTCTAATCGTAGACAACACAATATCGAGCCTTAAAGTGTAAGCCCGTATTGGTATTGTTTCTTTTATTTGGCTGTCGAACATTATTTATGGTTTGAAATATGATTTTATGTAAAATAATTGATATGAAAAAGCCGTCTTATAAGTTATGACCCCATTTCACCACACGCAAGTGGCAGAAATGACAATGATCAGCTGACGCATTTTTCTTGGCCGAAGTCAGAGCGCGCGGCCCGACGCACCACGCGTATTTGGAAATTCCGACCTCGACGAGCATCAGAAGCCACCTAACAGGCGTGTTCGAAACCGCAGGAGATGATGATGAACGGGTTTATCGAAACTTGATTGGATGAGCATATCGGTAATAGCGATTTCAGTGTGTGCATTTATTGTTCATAGTGGTGTGAAATGTGGTTGGGGTACGACCGACAACCCGTCGGGGCGAATTTCGCACTGGGGTACTCAAAATTTGAAGAATTTAAGACGTTTCCATGAGTTTTGAAGGTATGGATAAGTTCTAAAAATCCGGTTCTCCTTATCTGGGCCATTAACTCCATACGGTCCAAGAAAGCTGGCACACTAACTTTAAATTCATCCACTTGAGGCATTTATGTAATAATAAATGGTAGACGTGCTGTGTGCAGCCGATGTTCTTCATTCAAAACAGTAAACGAATAAAGATCACAGCGCACTGCTTGCACTCCCGCCGTTGCTTCCGCCTCGTGACGTCACTGCGGGCACGACGTGACGTCACTAGGGGCACGTTTGGCACGCAAAACATATGCCAGACGGCGCTTTACCGCAGCGGAACCCGTTTGAAACGACTTATGACGCTAGCAGTATGTACAGTTAGCCAGCCACCTGGTGCTTCGTTTGCCGTCCGAATAAATAACGCAGATGGATTTAAATTGTGCTTCTTGTGAGAATGTGGTCAGGAGTTTCAGGAACTGTTGATGAGACACACGAAGAAGGCAAAAGAATGCATGCGTGTGTAACGGTAGTAACGACAGTAGCGAGCCCACAATGAATTCCTTGATCACGCTGTTGAAATTACCAAAAATAGGAAAAAATAGACAAACCAAAAATAACTGTAACATCAGCTTCGAATTGAGCTGCTCATGTCACAGTTGTTGGCATGTATGTTGCGACTTTTGATGCTAAAGGATAGAATGATCGAGCAAAAACCACAAAAACCGTGAACCGTGAACCATGAACCGAAACCGTGAACTTCAAAAACGTGGGAATATTGGCAGCCTTATTACCAAAGTTCCAATTCAGTCATTTTACCGACATTTATGTGCGATTAGCATCAAACCCACCTCCAATAGTGACGGCTTTCGATCAATTACAGCCCCATGCACGGCATTCCCGTGACAATAAATCACCCGCCGGCCGACACGCTCCTGGAGTTCGACCGTCGAGTTCTTTGACGAACCTATCCACTCGAAGTAGGTCCCGGCGTTTTCATGATCTACCAAATGAACAGGTTCAGTTCAATGTTGTAGACGCCATATGTAGGAGTTTCAATGGGATGCTTGTCACGTACTCCTCTCTACGTTCGCCACAACACGCTACACCACGTGTTGGATGATACTCTGACGGACAGAAGTGTTACACTAAAGTGCGCGTCACGCGATCCATCCAACAGACACAGAGCGATGTCGGTTTGACAGACTCTTAAAGCGCGGCCGAGATGGGTTCGTCAACGATCTGGTAACCACCACAGTCCGGAGTGTACGGATGCCAGATGTTCGACCGATAACGAACACGCTCTTCAGGAGTACCGGGGACGTATCAATGGCGGTACTCTGGTGACCGAACGTAGCTCCGAAAACCGCTGACGAGCTGACGAACACAGCGATGCGTAACAGATCCGCTGCTTTGGCTCGGCCGACTGTGGTGGAGCACTGAACGGACCACGGAGGGTGTCATTATCCTGTCGGACAGCTGATACCACTGTTGTCAGCTCGTCAGTGTGACCGGTGCCGCTAGCAGCCGTCACTGTTCTGAACAGCCGCACCAGATTCGGAGATACGTGGTGGCGGACATCAGCATAGGCGGATAGTTGTGCCGAACTGGGGGTGCTCGGGCGCAGCAAATCCGCCGCCGCCCTAGCGGTGACCTTGACCTCTGCCGTCTGCTGTGGCTCCAAAGCCAAGCCGGCGTGGAATTGGGAGAGCTTCCTTTCCCCAGTCAAGCACAATTTTCCACCTACACACAGAAAAATATTAACACCGTTAGCGGTGTAATTGCACAGTACATATCTGAGCACTTGAGGAAAGTTAATTTAGTCCCTTCACACAGAAAAATATTAACACCGTTAGCGGTGTAATTGCACAGTACATATCTGAGCACTTGAGGAAAGTTAATTTAGTCCCTTCCCCGCTTAAATTACTCGCGCTTCTAAATGAACACCAGGAAGAAGGTAATAGAACACTGTTAGGAGGGTTGGGTGTTTTGCTACATGTAGTAAAACACCCAACCCTCCTAACAGTGTTCTATTACCTTCTTCCTGGTGTTCATTTAGAAGCGCGAGTAATTTAAGCGGGGAAGGGACTAAATTAACTTTCCTCAAGTGCTCAGATATGTACTGTGCAATTACACCGCTAACGGTGTCAATATTTTTCTGTGTGTAGGGACATCAACCTGATCATTTTGGCTTTTGTCACCAGTCTTATGCGTTAAATGCTCCACCGATTCCTTCATTGTATTTTGGGGTAAATTACATAGGCGGCAGCCGGCATCCAGAATGACTGGACAATGCTGATCAAGGTTGAGGAATGTAAAAAATCAAAATAGATGGAAGATAGCAAACCATGTGCAAGTGAATCGAACATAGAGAACATAGGAGTTTGTGCAATAAGCATCCTTGCTATTACAGCAATGTGTTTTTGTGACGTAGGATGCCATATAATTTTCACTTGTCAGGCAAAATATTGCTCCTCTTATAATATTTTGCCCGACATACCTAGTACTAACCGGTGGCAGCCACGCATCTTTGATATTCGTATCGTAAATCGATTACAGTTTTGTACTTACCTAATCCATGACATATCTGTGTATCTAATGTTTCACTGGCGTTTTTCAGAAATCGTGACTTTGCACTGCATTATAAATGCACCACGTGCAATGCGTAGTGTGCACGCCATGGTTGCACGACGCACCATGCACTGCATGCAGTGCACAGTGAGAGGATGCACTTCGTGTCACTGCTTCATAAGACTGATAGTGGCACGGTTCGCTGCACAGAGAGTTTCGTTTGTAGCAGCCGTCACCCTATCAGAAAAGCAGGCCAGAATGCATATGAAGGGAAATCTGACGGTATCGCAAAATGTCCCCTTTGTCTCTGTTTAGATATGCGATCGGAGTTGTGGGTTATGACCATGCTAGTAAATTGTTTTCGTAGGAGCTGATGTTAGGATGTCACATATGAACACCAAAATGAAGTGACACAACACGCTATAGTTGCGGGGTAGGTTTGGCGGATTAGGCTCCTGATGGTTTATGTTCCGGGTAATATAGAGCCATGGACTCAACTACTAGAGTCATCTGCTTTTACCATTAAAAGTGATATATGGAGACGCGATCTACAGAAATATAGTGCAATGTTGAAAGACCCCAGAACTGGCGTAAGCTTGAAAATTGATCTCTTCGGTGTGATCTGTTTACCCTCATAATCACATCGCCCTCACACCATCCGCTCCACGGCAAGGTGTGTGCTGCCATATCTTCTGACTATGCTTCCAATTTCCATATCTCCCTCGTCCTCTCTGACCATCGTCCGTATAGCTGTGGTGAAGAGAGACTCGTCTCGGCGACAACCCTAGGTGTAAAGGGGGCCAGTGAGCGTCTTGGTGTGACCATCGAGGTGACCACAGTTGGTCTTCTCTCGTTGTGGTCTCTCGATTGAGCCCGTTCCTCAGAGTGGCCAACTGGGTTTGGAGAGGGAAAGTGAGCACAGTAGGTCCGGTAGCGAATCTGGTCTAAGGTCTGTTGTCTTCTTCGCTGTTGCGTGAGAGGAATCAGTCGGAGTGATTGAATTCGTGGTGGAAATTTCAACATGTCGACTATCGAGACTGAATTATCGGTTTTGAAAACATGATTCAGTGATCACGATCAACTCGAGTTTTTATACTCTGTCAACTATCTATCCTGAATCGGTCAACTAGCCATTGATCGGATATGAATTGATAAGATGAACAACTAATATATTGTATTCTTGCAAGAGTTGGGAAGTCTTTTTATGCTGCAGATTTCTAGCTTTTCTCACATAAATGATCCCCACTTCAACCTTCCAATACTTTCTTTTGGAAGTTTTACGCGTGAAAATTAGTAATGACAATTCCTACGACAACCGTTCTTAGAAACACATTTTCACATAGAAACGCACATTTCGCAGTATAATTGGCTTGAGTGTAAAAAGGAGTCTCACTCTCACATACACTGAAAACTGTCGGGGTGCTTGAGCCATTGTCTCGCCGGCCACTGCTATGAAATGCATGCTGTCCACGCAGTGTGGCCAGTTGTCTGCGGTATAGAAGAAGTCACTGTCCGCTTCACGTATCTGGTTTTCACAGTTCATGACTTCGCGGTATTGTGAAGACTTGCTGAAACTGAAAACACGGTATGGTTCACTGTGCATGAAATTAGGGTGTGCTGAGATTGTCAGTTTAGCACAAACAGGAACTCTGCAATTGTACATCAAAGTTGCAAGTATCATGGAATATGCTGTAGTCTCTGTTCCAAGCTCCAGTGCTTTTGTAAGAATAAGCTGAGCGGGCGAAATTTCTGTTTGATCTCTATCTTCATTACGGGACAGATCCTACCAACCGATAAACTCGCCCAAGGATTATTACTGTCTCGGTCATTAGTTGCTGCTGGAAAATAATACAATCAATACGCAAAACTTAACATTTAGCCTTGTAACGAGCACATCCATCTTTTGTGTCTAACATTCGTGAGAGCTTTTCATTTGAATAAGTATTTGAACAACCCATATTTTCTGCTGCACTTGCGAGTTGCATTTTTTCAGCCCTCGACTCGTTTCAATAGCATAAAAAAACGCTCCGAAACTTCAAAACGTGACACATTGACAGCATTGTTTGCCGTGCACCCTGACAAAGTTTATATAAATCCCGGTCATATCGTTACGTCATTGTTCAAACATAAATCGCCTACCGATCGTCCCACCTCAGCCAATGTTCACACCGGGCTCTAACTGTCGTTTCACATCGCGCCTCTAATGGTCCGTTAACACCGAGTGTCTAATTGTTCGTTCCAGTCAGCTGACCTATACTCATTGTCCCACAATCTATCTCAGTTGGTAGCACTCCCTTGTGTCTCACTTCCCTGGCCTGAATTGACGTGACCCATCTCACTAGCTTCCACCTTCTTCACTGAGCAGGAGTGTGTGATCAAGCCTGAAGTTTGCCCTATATTATCCCTACCGGACGGCGTAGCTCGAGATCGATTGGTAGCCTAGTTTGACCTGGTTACCGACGGTCTCGGGTGGCCGTCTCGAAGGCTCCCAATTGGTGATCACTGACTGGTGACTGGTGATTAGTGAATGGTGATTAGAAGCTGCCATTACGTCTTATAGCAGAGAAGGAGAACGGTCCCTAACAGATCGCTCGTCAGTGTAGCGGTAGGAGCGTGATGGTGAGGTGCGCGCTCTCCTGTTGTTCCTGGTGAACAGCAGAAGTGCCTTGGTATCTTGGTGACAGTTTGGTGATAGTGACGTTCTATGATTGGTGTCTGGTGCATGAAGTGACCAGTGATCTAAAGCCACTTACGCCACTACATCACTGTGTATGGGTTATTGTGATGGCTAGTGTATGGTGACTTGACGTCCAGAAAGAGACAGAATAGCCGGACCTGAATGGGCAACTAACGAGTGACACTTCTTCTTCTTCTGCAGGAGATTGCGGCATGTAGAAATACCCTCGTCACTCATCTGTAGTAAGACGTGGAAGGCTTCGAAAACCCTTCCCAAAATCAGCTATAAATAAGGTACGTTCGTAGTCCAGGTGTTTTTGGAAGCGATAGCGTTTATTGGCGTTGGAAGGGATCAAATCAATCAAAATTATGTGCAGAGTTGTATCCAACATTACTTGAAACTGGGAATGAACTATGAATTGGTGCAGCTAAGCTGCGTACCACTTTGTTGTCTATCTGCACCTGAATTTACTATATTCTTACGTTTTTTTTTCATTGTATGAAAGTCGTTAGAATATGTTTCATTGAACTTCCCCTTCCGAAGTTGATCATTCTTTATTTGTCCACTAGCGAACGCAGCCAAAACCAATGCAATGAAGCTCTAATCACGGTATTTAATTTTTGCTTTCAGAAAATGAAGGTGCTTCTCGCCGTTTTCCTGATCTGCGGGACGTGCACATCCGCCGCCGATTCCTCAGCTTCGGCTTCGGATGTCTCCAGTGCAGTGTCAAAAGCCGAGCCCAGTCGTGGCAGCGGCGAATTCGCCTCCGCACGTGCTCTCATCGAAACCCAGACCTCCGCTTTGGAAAATATTCTTGGCAAAACGCCAAAAGACGAAGCTCTCAAATCTCTATCGCGAGAATCTCGGCAACTGAGCGAGGATTTCGCCTCCACAAGTTCTCCACCGACGGAGACGGTCCTTGAGGATGATGACGAGCTGACCGATCAGGAGCGGCTGGATATCCTTCAGGAGCTGGAGCGGCTCAACAGCACAGAGCCGGAGCAGCTGCCTCAGCCGGAGATGTTCATTTCACACGTCAGAAACTACTGGCGACGGCAGGAGGAAGCGCAGCAGAAGATCAGGAACGAGATCCTGGACATGATCCTGCCCAGGAAAAAGGTGAGTTGATGTGTTGACTCCGTAGTAGCTGCGCTTGACCTTTTCTTTTGTCCGCGCCCTTATGGGCAATTCACCGTTTCATAATGCTGTGCTTTATTGTAATTGATTAGATGCAAAGGGAAGAGTGAAAACTGGTCCATTAAAAACTCGGTTTGTCAGCCAGGGCCTATTTTAACATGTTAACTGGGGGGCAAATGCCCCCGCACTCAACAGAATTGCCCCCCCAGTCGTCGAGATGTGCCCACTATAAAAATGGGCATAAAGGAACACGGTGACAAACATACAACTGTGACTTGTTTTGCAATGGATGTCAAATGAGTCAGTCTGCAAGTAATGACCAGTGGTGGATCCAATGGTGGGTCATATGGGTTATGACCCCCGCCCCCTTTGGCCCGGGGACACCACAGGCCTGCCTGGGGCACCACCGGCCTGTCAGGGGCACCACAGACCTGTTGGGAGCACCATCGACCTAGGAAGAGCACCATAGGTCTGCCAGGGGCACCACAGACCTGCCAGAGGCCCCACCGGCCTCGCAGGGGCGCCACCTTGGGCCTGTCAGGGATACCACCACAGGCCCGCCAGGGGCACCACAGGCCTGCCAGAGGCACCACAGGCCTAGCAAGGGCACCACGGGCCTGTCAGCGACACCACGGGCCTGTCGGGGGCACCTCAAGCTTGTCAGGGCCAAGGGACACCACAGGCCTGTCAGGGGAACCAGAGGCCTAGCAGGGACACCACATGCCTGGCAGGGGCACCACCGGCCTCGCAGGGACATCTTGGGCCTGTAAGTGGCACCACGTGCCTGTCGGGGACACTCCAGGCTTGTCAGGAGCACCACAGTCCTCTCAGGGCCCAGGGGCACCAGCGGCCTAGCAGAGGCACCACCGGCCTAGCAGGGACACCAACGGCCTCGCAAGGGCATCATGGGCCTGTCAGGGGCACCACGGGCCTGTCGTTGGAACTTCAGGCTTGTCAGGGGCACCCACAGTTCTTTCAGATGCACCGGCGGCCTAGCACCATGGCACCATGTTTGGCCGGGATTGCGATTCGGCGCATGTCGCCTCGCATTAGCCGCTCGTTTGCAGTCTTTTCGTGGTTTCAAACGTTCAAACATGGGATATGATGTTGCTCCCATGCATTCGGGTGGGTATCAAGGTCACCGGAAGGTCAGGTCAGGCCATTTACCTTTGATGACCTCGGTTCACATTTTCGAGTTCTATATGATTCTAGGCTAGTTTTTGGAGCTAAATTCGAATTTAGCAACCATTTGACCGATTGCCAAGTAGTTTTGGTGCCTTCGTAACATGTTACGAGGCTGTCAGAGGCGGTTGCCACCTACTACGAACACCCGGCAAAACCCTTACTGGTTTACCTGACCTGACCTGACCCGACCTGGCCTAAATGCATGAAGACATCATCTATAATCATAACTAACATGATATCGTGATCATCACCCCGAAAAAACATAGCAGCCACCCTTTACGATGCTCTAACAGGTCTCGATTTTCCCGACTTTTGGGTCATTGACCTGACCTGGAAGGTCAAGTGATGACGACCTAGGACCTTAACACTCGCCGGCACAGGCCATTTTGCGTCCTTCGACGGCACAAGGGGGGGTTGGTACGACCCCCCCTCGCGTTTGGCCGCTGATCGAGCTAGAGCTTCGCGGAAAAAACGAGCGTGCTGCCCGTCACGAGAGGAAGCCGATGATATCCAATTTTAATGTCCTAGGTCATCGGGTGACCTTCCAGGTCAGGTCAATGACCCGAAAATCGGGAAAATCGGGACCTGTTAGAACGTCGTAAAGTGTGGCTGCTATGGGGTTTTTCGGGGTGCTGATCCGAATGATATCATGTGAGTTTTGATCACAGATGATGTCTTCATGCATTTAGTCCAGGTCGGGTCAGGTCAGGTCAGGTCAACCAGTAGGGGTCCTGCCGGGCATTCCTAGTAGGTGTCAACCGCCTCTGACAGCTTCGTAACATGTTACAAAGGCACTAAAACTAGGCTTCGTAAATGTTCATCGGGTTGCTAAATTCGAATTCAGCTCCAAAAACTGGCCTAGAAACATGTAAAACTCGAAAAAGTGAACCGAGGTCATCAAAGGTCAATGACCTGACCTGACCTTCAGGTGACCTTGACATCCACCCTAATGCATGGGAGCAACATCAAATCACATGTTTGAACGTTTGAAAGCACGAAAAGCTTGCAAAAGCGCGGCTAATGCGAGTCGACATACGCCGAATCGTGATTCCGGCCAAACATGGTCTCGGAAAGTAGGTCACAGGTCAAAGGTCATTTGGGTCAGGGTCATGAAATTTTTAGGGTAGGTGTAAAATTGATAAATGTGAGGGTACTGAAAGTTTCGTTGCAATCGGCAGCTTTTTACGCGAGTTATTCGCGAAAAAACCTTAGGGGGGTTGCATCAACCCCCCCCCCCTGTGTCGGCGAGGGTCGGCGAGGGTTAAAATTGGGTATCATCGGCTTCCTTTCATCACGGGCAACACGGTCGTTTTTTCCATGAAGCTCTAGCTCGAGCAGGGTCGAAACGGCAAGGGGGAAGGTCCAACGGACCCCCCCCCCCCCCCCATCTACGTTCGCAGCTGGAAAATACCAATACGGGCGAGGGTTGATGGATTATTAGAGACAATTTTCCAGGTTGCCCCCCCCCCAGTCAAATTCCCTTAAAATAGGCTCTGTTGTCAGCCAAGCGAAGTTATATGCATTTTAAATTGAAAGGTGCATTAGCCATTAGGTACCCCAAAAGTCAAGCATGTGTTACGGTGCTTCTGGCTCGCATTTACCCGTGAAAGCTGCCCGTGCCGCCGCCTATTGTATTCAAGGCAGCTACTTGTAGCCAGGTACCGCTATATTTCATTAATATCTATCACTCAGGCCACTATTTAGGCTCCTCGAACGTCACGACAATGACTTGCCATTGCATGCATAATTTCTTACCACGTGTAAACTAATTAGGTTAGTACACTGTCATCTGGCCGGTGCCAATCACGCGATATTCAGGGCATCTCATTGGGTTGCCGACTAAGCAGCGAGTTTGTCGGCCATGCAGCATACCTACCTTGGTTGTCACGACCTGTTCTCTACATTCAGAGCCCCAGAAATGTTTTCTACATTCAGGGCCCCAGGGGTCAAGGGTTTACCTTCCTCTGTCCTTACCGACTGCCACGTACTTTTCATGTACAACTATAGAATACTGTATACGTGCATTGTTCACGAACATTAGACAACGGCTTAGGAACACTATACGATTCGCTGAAAACCGCCTATTCATTTCCGACTCTTCATTCAGATTTCTAGCGACGCCCTTTGCCTATCAACCGCAGTAATCTGTCCGACGCCGAAGCTTAGCCAAATGTGTAAAAGAGGATTTGTGTAGTCTAAAATCGTTTGCCCAATAATGGAGTTATTTCAGCGTTTACCAATGTCCATTATATTTCATTTGGCACACTCTGTCCAATGTGAGAACTGAGAGCTTAGTCAAATGTATAAAAGTGACGGCCATTACTAGCTCGCCTCCTCTGTTGTATGTGAGAGCTGTCAGCAGTCTCTATCCAATATAAGAGCTCCCAGCAGTCCTCTATCCAATGTAAGAGCTCCCAGCAGTTCTCTATCCAATGTGAGAGCTCCCATCCGTCCTATGGCCAATGTGAGAGCTCCCAACCGTCCTCTGTCCAGTGTGAGAACTCCCTGCCGCCCGGCTCGGCCCGACACTCCGTTAGTGAGTCTGTCACGGTTGACTGACCATCAGACACCTGACAGACGAGTTAGCGGTCACCTCCCGCCGCACCCCACTCTCCCCCTCTCTCTCTCTCTCCCTCTCTCTCCTCCTGCACTCTACCTGTGGACTTTCGATAACCGCGGCAGGTGCCTTCATTAGCACGTGCAGTCAGGCCACTAGGGTGGCCGCTGGCCTAATTGAAGCCTTTCTCTTGGAGAGATGTGACCATTATCCGGGGAGGGGAGCGAAATACAAGGGGGTGATCTAGAGAGGAAAGCCTGGATGATTGACGGGAGAAATTGGAACAACCCCATAGGCGGCGGAACGGGGAGGGCACCGGGGCACCATGCCCCCTTTGATTTTTGCATTTTAACATTAGCCCTATGGGCGTTGCATGGAAAGAATGGGACCAAAAGTCGCCAGTGCCTCCCCCCCCCCTCTTAATTGAAGGTGTTCCGCCTCCACTGAACAATCCGTGCAGGATTCGAAACACATGTAAAAGTTATGGGTCCGTTCGGTCACGCCAAATTCAACCTGCTTTTGAGCTTGACTGATTATTCAGACTCATCAACAGGGAAGACTGATCATATGACTAAAATTGTACGCGTAGAGTCCGTTCGATTATCACGTGACCTAGATCGTAGTGGCTGCCAAACAAATATACCGTATCACGTGATATCAGTCATGCGTGTGTGATGGATGAGGCGTGTGCGTCACGTGATGTTTCGTCTCGTGATTGTTGTCGTCAGTCATTTCTCGCCTATCCGTCTAGAGATGATAAATGTCGCGAAGGCAGGCGAACCGCGTGTGAACAATCTGTTAGTGTAGACGATAGCTAAGCTAACGGGAAATGCAGTTCTGAGACACTGGTTCTAACACGCGGGTACGGAATAGCGCTGGCTGCTTTGTCATCGGCGATTCTAGGATTCCAAAGAATGTTTGTACTCGTTTTGTCAAATGATGCCTAAGACTGTGTTCTGTCATTATACGCAATTAGTTATGTGCCTTTGCAAACATTCGTCCAGTACTTCTCTTTTCGTTATCTTTCGGAACCTCTTACTCTGATCAGTTTTTGTACTGAGCGACTAACTGTGGCTTATACCAACGTGTTAGTTGTTACCAATACCATTGTTTTGAAATGGACGCACATGCCACAAAACGATAAATCTAGTTCCACCTACAAACCGGAGCAAAACAACACCAGTTTCCCATTACTAATGGTGTCGGCCGGTTGTGTCAGGTGGCACCGCCGCACCGGGCTGCAGTGCTGGTGTGGGTACTCGTACAACAGAGCCTGATCTGTGTGAGAATTGTAGGTGTTTGTGACTGTGTTCACTCCACTGAGAACTAGGAATGTGGATCAGGCCAGTGGGACTCGAACAGACGATCAATTAGAGAGCAGATGTCCCTGACAGAGCAGATATAATTGATGGGGTTGTTATTTAGGTTGAGCCACACGCAGATGAGACATACCTGCCATAATTGTGGCCAAGACATGATAGCAAGCTTTCTCAGATGTCTCGTCAAAACGCTTTGATAAAGCTATGATAATACCGATTTTTTTCAGTCATGTGATTATTTTACGAATATCTAAAGAAAACTATACAGGCCTGCAGCCAACGTCACTCATCAGTATGTATTTATAGTATTCTCATCAAGATGTGTGACACTACTTTGTAAAGGAACACAATTAATAATAATACATTCACTATGCATTATACATCCGTGTTCCGTCCTGAAATTGGCCTCTCGACCATTCCATTAGATAAAATGCATGAAATGTCGCAAAAGACTGTCAATGTGCTGTGTTTGTTAACCTAACTAGTTTTAGACTACCATCAGACAGGGGAGAGATATCCGCACAGATTTGTTGGTCAGCCTTGTTCACTGGAGCGTGAACCGTGCATTTAGCTCATGACTTTGCTGACATTGAGTAGACGGGTGAAATGGACAGGTGAATTGTAATGATGGGGGTGCGGAGAAAGACATCGGGGGTGGGTGGAAGGGGGGGCTATTCAGTCTAGCGGAGATCATACAGCGAGATCGCGGCCGCAGAAATACTGATCATTGATATTCATTGATATCGAGAGCAAGATATAGGAGAGAAAGGGGTGAAGAAAAGACTTCAGGGAGAATGAGAAAGGAACCAAAGGAAGGGTGAGAGGAATCCAGTGATAGAAAGAAAGAGAAGAGAATGGGTATGGAAACCTTTTTTGAACATCTGTTCGAAGAGCAGGTCGATAGCACTATCTGTTGAATGTATCAAAGCTGTTATCAATATCTTACCACTCTCTCCCTCTTTCTCCACAGAGTCGTCCGCCGGGGCCGCCGCGAGGACCTCTCCCCAACAGCGTCCCGGCCAGAATACAGCGACCGCCGCCGCCGCCGCCGCCCAGACCCGACCGCAGGGCGGACCGGCGGCCGCCCCCGCCCGGCAGGAGAAACCCCGGACCTCGGGAGCGAGACCAGGTCATCGGGCACCAGGTCAGGCGGGGTCACACGGTGGGAAACATTCGGATTAAATTTAGAGGACGTTTTGCTTTTGCTTTGCATGGACAGATTTTAGAAGCTGTTTACTCGTGTGTCAAGACGCCACTTACATGTCATAACATGCGTCACTCTTCAGCGTCGAGGTGATGGACGTTTGATGAATATTTCAAGTCACGTTTCCCTGCTACTGCTACGAGTGATGACAGTGACCTTGATCTAACCTGACCTGACCCATGTTGCAGCCACCGCCACCGGGTCTGTTCGGGGGCCCTCCGCCACCGGATCACAGAAACGACGTCCAATCCGCGCAACGTAAGTGACAATATTCAATTCCTTTACTCCCTTTAATTCTCTATTTGCCATTCAAACATGACTTTCTACCTAAAAAGACGTTGATTTTCAATGAACTGTCACAAGTGTCCCACTCGAAATGGTCATGTTTGATGATCATGTCACGGAAATGGTCATGTCATGGTCATGATATACATAGAAAGAATCGAATTGCATGCAGGTATATTCCTAGAAAATTCGAATCAGCTAAGTTTTATTTTGATAACACCACTGCTATTTACGCATTTCTCAAAATGTTGACGTTTTTTACACGCCAATAATAATTTGTCTTCTCCGTTCATTTCAGCGTCGATCCCGGCGCCTGCTCCGTTCCTGTTCAAGGTTCCTGGCGAGGGGGTGATCCAGCTGCCCCCGCCCCCCACCCACGCCTCGGCCCCTCAGGACGCATCCAACGTATTCCCCCCGCCCTTCCCCGTCGGAAAACAGCCGGCCAATCACCGACCGGGACTGAGGCCTCGTCCCAAGGGTCACCATGGCAACCGGCGCCGCCCGCCGCCGGCCAATCAGGAGGCGCCGCCGCGCCGCTCACCGCCCAATCACGAGCCGCCACGTCGCCCCCACAACGGTCTCCGAGCTCCAATTGGACCAAGGCGTCCTCAAGGTTAGTTATTCGGCCAATCATTTCTTTTTGCAGAGACTTCTCTATTTTTGCAGAGATTCAATGATTTCTTTTTGGTCGAATAAACTGGCGATTTTGAAGTGATCAATGACCTCACAATTCAAGTCAGCTTGATTGAATGTTTGCACTACCTAAAAGAAAATCACAACGTTGTTGCGATGAATGGATGAGATATTTACAGCCTATATGCATGGAGGCTTTTTCTGCTGCTTTTCAGCATTCCCTTTTCGTCTAGAGACCCGCGTTTCGGCTCACAATTTGTTTCTATCATCCGCTTCGGCTAGCATATTCAGACAGCCAAACTCAAAGAGAGTGTAAGCATGTTGTAGGGGTATAAACACCCCTCCCCCTCCCCCTACAGAGCGTCCCCCACCGGACAGCGACCGTCGGCGACGTCAGGAGGAGGAGCATCGCAGACGGCTAGAGGAGGAGGAGCATCGCAGACGACTCGAGGACGAGGAGCGTCGGCGTCGGTTTGAGGGAGAGGAACAGAGGCGCCGGCACCAGGAGGACTTCCGTCCTCCGTTTCCTCAGCGTCCTCCTTCGTTTGTGGAGGAGCAGAGCAGACCGCGACCTGACCTGGTCCGGCCGGAGACCAGACCGGACCCGGGACCAGGACCGGGCCTGGGACCGGTGGTCCCCCGCAGACCGCCCAACTTTGACTTCGGACCGCCCGATGGCGGCTTCAAGCCGAGTGTGAGTTGGTGGGCGAAAGCTCACGCTAGGTTGGGATGGAAATTTAGTCAGATAGTTCACCAGTCAGCCGGTTTGAATGATTTGCTCTCGCCGGCCCTCCCGCACAGCGCTACCATATTTGTCTATATTGAACAAAAACTTTCATTAAAGACCTCACCTAACTTTTTACCTTTTCAATCAGCTTTTTACTCAATCTATGCTCAAGCTGGCTATTTGATGTTCATTTTCTTATGTTCCAAACTCCAAAACATACTAACATCAAATGACTGGTTACGCGCCACAAGTAACCGTTAACTTCTCTTCTCCGCAGGACATTGATTTCGGCAGCTCGAATTTCCGACCGTTCAGTCCTGTCAACAACGACTTGAGCACTACCACGCGACGGGAGTGTGATTTTTATGCTGAGGACATCTGTCTGGCCAGCAGTGTGTACCCCGGGTCAGTACCATCGACGATCCTCGATAAGTAACAAGGATCATTCTTGTAGTAAGCATCCTTGGAGGATGTTTGAACGTTGGAAGCTGAGATGACTGGTGCACTTCAGGAGACCGGCAGTGTCTTTGGTTGTTACGGAACGGATTCCATTCAAGTTTTCTGAGACGGAGTTTAGTGTGAATGCATTTGATTTAAAATATAAGTGGAACCACTTTTTTTGGCAAAAACTGCAGCGTAGCATAACAGTAACTTTTTATCATTGCGTTGGGTCTCTTCATTGTTTTCCAAGTCGTCAAATTGCGCTACCTGCTTGCGAGGAAGCGCATTATATGACGTCATCCTCAGCGGCGATCAGCCGGGAGCGGCCAATGGTGGACGCTATGTAACTGACGTCACCTGTTGTATGACGTCATTCACAGGGATGCTATCCGCGCCTCGATCAGCCGGGACCGTCCAATGGTAGACGCCATGTTTGCCGAGGTTCAGGAGCAGAGTGCCGATATTCTGGTGGAAGGAGTTAGTAGTAAACAGGAGGAGTTGTACGACTACACGCACTACTTTGGAGCCGAGAGGTGGGACAACACATGTTTCATTTCACCTTTATACGAGTTAACCTACTACGCCGTTTTTATTTCTCATTTATTTGCTTGCATATTTTGCCTCTGTCGCCGCCGTAGCGGCTCCAGTGTTTTATGGCACGCGCCATTTTGCATATTTTCACGCAGTCGGAATTTCGCATTGACCTATAATAAGTATAGACGAACTACTCGCGTCTTTGCGGCGTTCCTCGTCGACCAAAGAAGCAAATTGTTTTCTGAAATTACAGCGCAGGATAAGGGCAATCCTAACCTTTAAGCACGGACGTAGAAATAAAAGTTTGTTAAATATTTAACGTTAATTTATTTTAAAATGTGTATCAGAACGCTAACATTTACTACAAAACATTTATTTAAACGTTTAAGGTTTGAAGTCAAGCCTCACGAAATCGTCTCCATGGTAACGGAATAAACAAAGTCCTCGGCATCATTTATTGTTGCCGCATTGCAAATTGCGTAAGGTGTGTTGACAGTCCTGTGCATATTAAGCAAGAAAAAATAGTTTGTCACCAATAAAGAGCACAAAACAAATATCAAGCACATATTGCACGTGATAAGTGAATCATTTCAAGGAGATAAAATTGACTTATGTTATTACAGCAAGCATTTCAAGCAGTGTGATCTGAGATTTTTGGTATTCATGTAATTAAAGCATTTTATTTCATTTTCTTTAAATTTATCCTGTTTATCTGCTAGATCAGTCAGACACTGATATTTTTATCCTAATGGCTAGAGTCAAGAGAAGAAAAAACTGAAAGACACTTGCAATCTTAACAAATGTCATAAGAAATGGTTTGGAAGAGGTCCACCCAAGGTCTACCCAAGGGGTCTACCTAAGAAGGCACAGGCCTATGTTCTTGTTGCTGGAAGGCTTCTGATGTGTGCTGAAATTCATCTGCCAACTGAACCAGACATAGCCCGACTTATGGCCAACATATAAAGTAAAAAAGATTGAAGAACTTAAGTTGTAAGTTGCTACTGCAATTAAACACGATGGAGGCTGGAGCCGTCAAGAAAACTGAATGGAAGCTCAGCAAGACTGCAACAGTCGAAATGCCTACCAAGTGTGACCTGCTAATGACTGGCTTAATTATTTCTTGCGTGTCTCAACATAAGTGCTCAAGAGCAGAAGGCCCCTCATTTAGGTACTTGTGTGTGCGCTGATTTGTGGAACGTTGTTAAAATCGAAAACCAGAATTCGTGAACTTTTGGTGATCACCAGTGACCTTTAGCGATGACCTGATTGAAAAATTGTCAAGATGATTCTCAAAGTTCTTATAGCGAGCTACCTACTGCCCTTTCCGCATCTTTCTATCTTTCTTCCTTTGCGAGATAATATGGCGTTGACAAATACGTCCCCCTCCTCCCATCACTATATGGCGAAGTTGGCTGAAAGGCCCACCCGGACGCGGGTTAAAGAGGCTCATGGGTGAATAAAATGATGCATCATTATGTGCACTCAGATTGGTATGAGTTAGAGGTGGCAAAATGTGGACCCGAGGACCCGGTCCAAAGAACCAGTCTGGACCCATATGGGTCCAGACCGGTTCCTGGAAATTTTCTGACGGGTCCAACCGGGTCCTACCATAAATTATACATCTTGCACACTACACATTATTGCAAATTATGAAGTGAATAAAGTGAATGTTTTTTGCTCACAGTAGCTCATGAGTATTCCCAATGGGAAATAGGCTGTTTTATATGATGCAACTAATGATACCTACAAGTAGTTTGTATTAATTGATTTTGGGGGAACGGGTCCAAATGGTTCCGATTTCAAACTAAGACCGGGTCCGACTGGTTCCAGAAATGTCCAGCCGGGTCTGGTTCGAGTCTGGTTCCCAAAATTTTCATCTTTTGCCACCTCTAGTATGAGTATATCGCCACTCATCCTACAGTCTCTACTACCATGAACATTATTTGTATGTCTTCATATGCTTTGACGATGCTTTGATGATGTCATGAATGTTACTGCTGAGCTTCATCTTAAATACACAATACATAATGTTAAATCGACTAACAACCTGTATTAATCGAATTCGCAATCATGAAGAGAAACGCGCATGAGACCTGCAAAACTACGTGATAGTGAAGCTCCTTTAACGGATCTAGAAATGATGATTCTGAGCGCAATGGCAAAGCCGCTCTTTAAAGATGTGAAAGTGGCCCCACTCGGAAGAGTCGGTCGCTACCGGTGTACCAAATTTGAGCGCAATCTCCCCAGCCGTTCTCGAGATGTGGAAGCGACCCCTCGCGCGTGCGCACGTGCAAGCTGGACCCAAACTGACTTGTGCACGGCACCCTGTCAAACGGTCCCTAACGACGTACCAAATTTGAGCGCAATCGGCCTAGCCGTTCTCGAGATCTGGAAGCGTACCCTGCACGTGCGCACGTGCACCAGCACCCAAACCGTGACACGTGAAAATGCATCATCATTTGCATGTCCAACGACATGCCAAGTTTCAGCTCAATCAACCCAGTCGTTGTAAAGTTATTGTTGATTGAACACATTTGTCACCACTTAGTTGGCACGTGGCGCGTGCCGTGTCCCTCACCCTATGACTTTGTGCTATGTTCAAGTGATTAAGCTTGGACGCTTCTTCATTGTAGATGCAGTCTCGTTCCGTTCCGTCGTGTCATTTACGCGAAAGAAGTTGATAAACTTTTGCGTTTTTCCCATAGACAAAGCATTGTGTTATTAGTTCGTGCCCTTACACGTACGGTGGCGCTAGTGTCGCTCAGCGGGAACGCCCTTCAGGCGCTGATTAAGCCAGTGTAGTCTGTCTATACTTATTATAGGTCAATGGAATTTCGTCGGTGCTATTGTTGTCGTGTGAATGAACTCGTTGAAATTAGAAGGAGAAAATGGCGGACAATATAGATTGATCAATTCGGAACAAGTTTAATTCGACTTTCGTATTATTCGGATTTTGCTTATTCGTAAGTTTACCAGTCGATCGAGTCGGATTCGATTCGTTCGCAACATTTTTTGGTCCTCCGGGCCGGATAACGTAATTTGTGTGTCGTCTCGTTCGCTCTAACGTAATGTTCACGAATAATGTAGCCTTTGAGCGTTATATCGTCGTTCGCTCTAACGTCATTATCGTGAATTAAGATACGTTTTTGAGTTTCGCATCGTTCGCACTTAACGTAATGGCCACAGATAACGTAACGTTCCGCGCATTGCATGGCTTCTAAGCATAACAACGTATGCTCTGAATGATCGTGCTGCTCAACATCAGCAAATAATCAACATGGATCAATCACCCGAAGCAGCAAGAGTGAAGCGGATCCGAGCAAACAAGAAGTCGTGTTTGACACGCATCTGCAATCGAGCCGAGAATCTGATCGCAGTTCGAGGCAGTCGTACCATTCTCCAAGAGCTGCTCGGTGATATTGACCGTGCAATGGACACAGTGACAGACTCCAATGAGTCATACTTGCTGGTATTGACGGACGAGGAAGAGAAATCGAAGGCAAACGAGTACATGATCGAAATCGAAGCACAGCGGAACAGCATCGTTCAAAAGATAATGACTTACCTTCAATCGAGATCTGACGAGGCCGCTTCTGAAGCTAGTGCAGCGTCGTCCCATCGTTCGACGGCAGCTGTGGCTCATTCACATGAGGCTGTGATTCAGGCCCGTCTGACCGCCTTGAAGAGTCGCCAGGAAGAAAAACGTCTTCAGTGCGAAAAGGAATTTAACCTGAAGATTCAGGCGGCTAGAGAAGCGGCTGAAACAGCCGAACTTGAAGCTCGACTGCGGCAAGAAGCCATCGAGTCAGGGACAGTCAATCTGGATAGGACTGATAACATCAGAGACGAAGCTGCTGTTGCCGATTGTGAAGTTGAGCAAGAACGCGCGAACGTTGGTGAGAGCAACCTGAGAACAGCAGACTGGATCAGGAGGCTGAACAGTCCTGAGGCCTCACCAGCTCAACAGAGAGAGACGACAGCGCGTCACACCGAGCTCCACAGCGTGCCGCGCATAGCACTGCCGAAGTTCTCGGGTGAGCCTCTGGAGTGGCCAAAGTGGATTGGACTTTTCGAGGCGCTGATTCACAAGCAACCAGGGCTGTCAAACGCAGAAAAAATCGTTCATCTTCAGTCGGCAGTCACTGGTCTGGCGCAGAAAACAATCGAAGGCATGCTATACGATGGCGAGCTCTACCCGAAGGCGCTACAAGCTCTCCAAAGTCGATTCGGCAGGAGTGACGATATCGTTTTCGCACACCTGAGGGCTGTTTTCGAGAGCCAGCCTCTGAAGCACCTCGACGCAGCAGCCCTAGAAAAGTTTCAAGCTCGTCTCCATTCCGCGGTTACGACTCTCCAATCGCTCGGCTACCATGGTGACGTCACGAGCCGTGAGAACTTGCGACGAGCAGTCGTGAAGCTGCCGATTCAACTCCGTCACGAGTGGGGAAAACGAGCAGTAGAGCTGGAGCCAAGGCAAGTCACACTGTCCGATTTGGATGACTGGCTAGCTCTACAAGTCCGGATATTGCTCAGCAGCTCAATGTCTGAGCGTGAAGGAAACAGCGGCATCAGCTCAGCGGCAGACAGTCAGCGCCGACCGCCGGCGTCGAGTCAGAGGCATGGATCGAGTGCGCGTTCGGCTCTCGCCACGGTGGCCACTCAGCATGGCTCCCAGCCGGCGTGCCCCCTCTGCAATCGCCGACACGGCTTGGCTCGCTGCAATGCATTTGCCCAAAAGTCGGTGTCGGAACGAGCTAGATACATCGCTGACAATGACAGATGTTTTCGCTGCTTGGAGACGGGACACATCTCGAGAAGGTGCCCGTCCACATCTGTCCAACAGTGCAGTTCTGCCGGCTGTGGAGGCAGACACCACCAGTTACTACATGGCAGCCAGCGTGTTTTCGAGCGTCGTGGAACGGAGCAGGCTGCCGCGCTCGAGCAAACCCAACAACATATGGATCCAGCAGAGCAGCACGCAACTAATCGCACGATCGGA